TGTCCCTATAACTTACTGTTCTATGTTTAAATGGTATACTACTATGGGTTCTTTGGGATTTTTACTTCAATGAAGTCCCTCATTACACACAAACATATGGACATCAACTAAAATGTTTATGCTTGTTCTCTTATTAAGGTGTTTTTTTTTTAAAATCAGTTTAACATACAGTCTCTGAAACTAAACCTTAGATGGTAGAGGGGAAAAAAGTGTTCTTTTTTTTTCTCCGCTACAAAAGCAAATGCAATGGATGACACAGGATAGGATGCTGGTTCAATAAAAAGCTAAAACAAAACAAAACAAAAACCCAGAAGACATTTTTGAACCAATGGGGAAATTTGGATATGGGCAGGATATGAAGAAATGATATATTATTTTTAATGTTCTTGAGCATAATAAAATAAGTATGGTTGTATACAGCATGCCACTATTCTCAACTGATGCATTTAGGATGGACTATAAGAATGTTTATAACCTATTTGCAAACATTGAAACAAGAAAAAATACGTGTGTGTGTGTTTATGTGTGTGTGTGTGTGTGTGTGTGTGTGTGTGTGTGTGTGTGTGTATTATTTTCTAGATTAGGAAAAGGCAGATATGAGGGAGGTAGAAAAGTGAAAAAGGAAAAGCTTATTTGGAAGACAGGAGGATATATGGGTTTTGGGGTATTCATTTTGCTACTTTCCCTTTATTTTTCTATATGCTTGGTATTTGTGACTAAAAAAAGTTGAACAAAATATTTTTGATCAGGTAACATTTAAATTAAAATTGCTAGTCCTTAATCTACATTAGTACAATTATTGCATTGTCTCTGAAATAGGGAAAGTAATATCACATTTGTCTAAAGGGAAGAGGAGACATAGTGTCATGATATCACCTTTTATTGCTAATAGATTTTGATTCAGAGATTACTCAATGTAGAGATAGTGCCCATCACCTTGCTTTCCTATTCCATTCAATGTTTTGTCAACTGATATTATTTTAAGTAAAATACCCTTCCTTATGTTGTCAGCAATTCATTGTTCACTCGAAGGTCTGCCTACTCACATTCTCTTGACTGAAACATCTTCTGAAATACTCCAGAAAAAAAAGAGTGTATGAGGATGGTGACTGTACTATATAAAGGACTAAAACCATAGCGCATGAGAATGGGGTCTGGGCAGACAAATAGATGACTAGATAGAGTTAAGATCATTTTCATGCTATGCACCCCATTGGCAATCTGGTAAAGCCTGAATATCATCAGAATAATGTTTGTAAATCCATAATACAAAATACTTAGGACTCCAAAGAATAACGATTATATTGAAATATAGTTAATAAGCTGTTAGAAAAACAAATGTGTGGTATACTAATGCAAGTGATTGCTTATTATAAACACATTAATAAGATCATGTGGTGGAACTAATAACTACTGCCATTTTTAAGTAGTGATAAGCATGAACAATATTTTGAGATGTCTGTACCAACTCTAATAAGATATGAAAACATCTGTGATTTCTCAGGTACTGCTAGTACTACTTCAGTTTCTTGCCTACATTCAGAATGGAAGAGAATGCTCAATTTCAGTTAAGAGGTTAGTGAAAACAAAGTGGCAATCCCTCACCCTCCCTACCCCCCCGCAATTAAAGCTCATAGTAACCACTTGAATTCTATCAAGGGACTGGGGCTTAAAAATAGTCAAATACATGCTTGCTTTTTTTAAACTATGATTTCCTTTTATGGCCTATATATTTTTATTCACATCTTTATAATTTATAAGGCCATTTTGGAGGCTAAGCCATCATTAAACTTATTACAATAATGCTTAAACCTATAGGCATTATTCAGTTCCATGGCTACATAATTGAAGCAACAGTGGATATTATATCATAAATAGTAGTTAATTGACTATGCTTTATACTTCATTTACTTCCAACATATACTAACTTTAATGGATATTTATTGTAATTTGAATTTTTCTGAACATTTTGTCACATATTTCTGATATCTTGCATTTTTAAGGAGAAAGGTTTAAAATTACGTAGCTGCAACACTACACATACTTTTTGTACATTTTTTTTACTTAAATTCTACACATTCTTTCATTGTGTATGTGGACTAAGAAATATTAAATATTTCCAATAGATGTGTTTATAGTCCACTGCAAACTAATAATACTGTTTTCAACTTGAATAATTATCTATTTTTCACCTGGGCAAAAAAAATTAATTTCTATTTCCTTCAAACTTCTGCTTGGGTTGAACTGAAAGCATGCCATTGATTAACAAAAGCTTCATGATTACAACCCTCCCACAATTGCTAGGTTAACATATTATTTATAAAATATTTTATTTTACTTTCTTTCCAACTGGATGCTTGGAAATAGCTGTGTATATAGATATAAATGGCACTAATATTTTACTAGTTTTTCACATTTCACAAAATTAAAATGATATAAAAATTCTGAGGAAGTGTGCTACAAAACTGATCTCAGTGGAAATTTAAATATGCTAACATATATTTTTAAAGTGTAGCATGAAGTTGACAACTTTAAAAGCTGAGTTAAAAAAATAAACCTAAAGGAAGCTGATCTTGACTTTTTTTAAAAAAAAGCATTAAAAAAGCAATATTTTTTATAAATATGTTTAAATGGGAGAAATTTTTCTAACCAATTCACAGCCAAATCCCTAGCACTAACGTACAATTTGTGTAATATTTCCCAACAGAGTCAGCATATACTACTTTCTTATAAACTTAGGATCTAAAATTATACAGTTTATTTGGTAAAATAAATACATTGCTCTATCTTCATGTACAAATTTTAAATTGCATTTATAAATCAATAACAAATAACATGATTTTAAAAGTTTAGGTGAAAAAGAGTTTTTGAAAATATATTAATATACTTTATCCAAATACTATAAATATTTAAGAAGTGAAAACAGACTCATAGAGAGCAGGCTGACAGCTATAGAGAGTTCTGGATAGGGGTGTATGGAGGGACTGAACAAAAAAGAAAGAAAAAGAAAAAGAAACTCATGGATATGAACAAGAGGATAGTGATTGCCAGGGCAATAGGGTGGAAGAGGGTATAGGGAGGATAAATGGTGATGGGCAGAGACGTGACTTGGGATACTGAACACACAATACAGTGTACATATGATGTATTATAGAATTGTGCACATGAAACCTATATAAATTTGTTAACCAGTGTCATCCCAATCAATTCAATATATATATATATATGAAACAATACTTTATTAAAAGTAAATAACCCTCCAATCAATTGAATCCACTTTATGAATTCAAGATATTTATTTTTCAGCATGTTATTCAATTGTTCTTTTTAAAATTTATTTATTGATTAAGTTATCACATATTTGTCCTCATTCCCCCATTCCCATCCTCAACCCCTTCCCACATAAATCCCCACCCCCTTGTTGTCCATGACCACTGGTTAGGCTTGTATGCATGCACACAAGTCCTTTGGTTGATTTCTCCCACTTTCCCCCACCTTTCCCTATCTCCCCTCTGAGGTTTGACAGTCTTATCGATGCTTCCCTGTCTAAGGGTCTGTTTTTGTTCATCAGTTTGTTGTTCTTTTCATTTCTTAACATTTTATTTCAAACTAGATTGAGTCTAGTTCAAAACTGACATTATACAAGTTTAAACTTGTTCATAGTGTAAATATATCAGTTATTTAAATAGTGGGGTATTTGTGTGTTTACTAGAAAGATTTTAACTTAGGAAATAGGTAATAACTTTCTCAAGGAAGCAGTTTAACTACAAAAATTCAGTCTTTATGTAATCAATATATAAATGATAATATTTTCTAAACCAATATTTAAAATAAAATGTTTTTAGATGATGTTATTATTTTTTAACTTTAGCAAGATTTGTTTGCATGCGTGTGTGTGGGGGGGGTCGACTGATTTATCCTTTTGGTACAGAAATATGAATTCTATCTATTTTCTGAATTATGCAGCATGAGCAAAGGCGGCAAGAGCAGGTGGGCAGATAATGAGCACAATTCCAAAACTTTTCTAATAAATCTTCACCAAAGATGTTTATCAATGAGTTGTTTTAGCTTTCTGAATATTAAAAATCCATTTTGGTGGTGGGCATATGGTGCAATATACACCCTTGTAACATAGAAACTCACATCTAAAATCTATATGTTCATATTGACTGATGTCACCCCAGTCAATTTCATAAGTAAATACATTTTAAAATTTCAACTATTATGTAAATAATAGGTAAGAAGAAAGAACCTGCCAATAGAACCTGGTTTGTATTGTTCACAATAGTCTCACTTGGTAAATAAAGGCCAACTCAGCCCTCAAGAAATAGGAAACATGAATACCAACAACTGGAAGTATAATACAAAATCCCATTTATAAAAATATCTATGCCTTCCAACTGCAGCAGCATGCATTTGACTTTCTGTGATTCTATTGCATTCCAAGGGAAAGTTAAATGATGAATGAATTCAACAATAACCTTTTGGAGATTGTGTTTTCCCCTTCAGATTTGAAAATTTGGGGCCCTTGTCCCTCTTCAAGAATGTACTACCAAATGCAGTGAAATGAAAAGGTAAATATTACTATCATGTTTTTGAGCAACACAGTCACATTTGTAGCTGTTAAAAAATCTAGCCAAAGAGCAACTTTGCTACAAAACAGTCCTTTATCATTTCCTTTAAAAAGCATTAGTCCTCATATTGTTAAAGTTGGAATATACTGAATAAATTCAGATTTATACTATCATGGGATTTTTATAACAAACTTGAAACTTGAAAGTAGCAGAAAAGCACTTCCTACTTAACTAGCAACCACTAAACATTTCAATACATAAGAAAAAGAAAGAAAAATGTATTGTTGCTATTGATTAACTGTTGATAGACTCCTTATTGTTAGTGCTTTTCACCCTGGTTACAATCTTACAGGAAATCTTTTTTTTAAAGGACAGCTTAAATAGCTCTGCTAAATTTTAAAATTCTTATTTTATCTGTCACCTTACCTCTTTCTTCTTTCTGCCAGCTGTTTGCAGACCTCCTGCCACCGCAGATTCAGGCTGCCCAATTTTTCTTGTAGAATACCGGCATCTGTTTTTGAGGACTGTTGAATTATCTCTTCCCCAATTGAATTCAATACTCTGACAGCAATTTGCCGCTGCTCGATGCCATCCTGGAGTTCCTGTAAGATACCAAAGAGGCAAAACAAAAATGAAGCCCCATGTCCTTTTATTTGAGAAGAGATTAAACAATGTGCTACCACATGTGGTTCTGCTGGGAGAGGAAGAAATAAAAAAGCTCCATGTGAAAATTTTTCTATGAAACTGACACAGCTATATCCTAAGGATACAAGGCAAAAAGACACCTTTTATGGGTTAGTTAAAAAAAAAAAAAAAGCGCTCTCTCAGTTCAACTCCAGTTTTTATATTTGTAAAGCTTGTCAGCTAGAGGATGCTATATTGTCCCACAAATCAATTAGTTGAAAACCTTCTCAAGAGCAAATTCGATTTCTTGTCCCCAGAAGGATGCTCCATGTTTAATAGTCTATGAAGTGTTGTAAAATTTAACGTGAAAAAAGTATTTGGATTTGTTAGTGACAGTCAATATAAGAGGTGAAAAAGAACCTACATGCTTTAGTCACAGTATTAACAGATAAAAAAAATCTGTAGAAATACTTAAACTGAAATCATTACTATATTAAAAGGAAAATTATTTCAAGTTCTGTTCCTATCAATATACTTTGCATTATGAAATGGAGAAATAATTGCTTTCAAGGGCAGCCTATCAATAAAACCCTAAGGTATAGCATTAAATTTAAAAATAATCTATAGCCACCAGCACATTTTTAATGAGTCATTGATGGTGTCAACCTTAAATATCTTCTACTTTTTATACTGAAATTTTAAAATATGTCAGAAAAATAGTTCCATTAAAAAGGGGGCTATTAACAAAAAAGTGACAATTACAACCAACTGTAAGTAAAAATGTTTTTAGCATTAAAATGATATTCTGCCTTTTTTAAAAGTTAGTTTAGAATTGGTAAGGCAATTAAAATAACCAATTCTTTAATGTGAAGTTTGGAAAACAAAATAATATGAGAACTTGAGATAACCAAATCTAAAGTACTTGTAGATCCTTATGTGCTAATGGTATAAAGTCAGTATGCAGAACACTTTTCTGATAGATATATTTCTAATACTCTTATATTCCCTTGTCGCTTGAGACAATACTAAATACATAGTAAATCTGAGAATACACTTGCCAAATAGATGAATGAATGCCTATCTTCTGAGACTGGGTCAATTCTCCCTTAGACTCTAATTCCACATAAAGTTCTTGGTTGTTTTTTTTTTTCTTTCTACTATTGTGTAATATTTCGAATGCTAGAATTTTGGGTAGTATAATTTTAGCAGTTAAAAGATGGGAAAAATCAGTAACAAGTTATAACAAAGCAATTATTCCAGGGATACAATATCTCACAAAGAATATAAAACTATACATAGTTATTGAACTATTCATAAGCTTTCCTGATCATACTCTAAAATGTACATGAGATATATTATGGTAAATGTGGTATTTCCTTGCAACCAGTTGATTTTGCTGCATTGCTTACATCTCACTCTTTACCACCTTATCAGACCATTGCTGCACATGACATCAATTTTATTAATAGGTATTCACCCCTTTATAACAAATTGTGTCTATGTTACTATTACACCATAAATTCCTTGAAGTCAGATTGTGCCCTATTCAAGATTGTATCTCTAATGCTTAGTACAATACATGGTACATAATAGTGTTCAATAAATATATGTTGAATGAATGCAGGAATCTATAAAGAAAGGGAGAAGAAGAGGAGAAGGGAGGGATGGAGTTCAGTCTCATTATCACTAGAGTATAGTTAGTATTAATACTTATCACTGGGCATCTTAGAGATTCAAAGAAATAAGTACAATTTTCTAAGATTTTTTGGCATTATCTAATCAATTGCAGAGCTTAATGTGTTATAATAGCTAGCAAGTTTTCCAATATTGGACAGAGGGGGGTGACCTTAGTGGAAGGAGGAGGAAGAGAGACCTTTGGAAAAAAAATTGGAATTTAAAGAATAAGTAGGACTTAGGCACCTGGAAGGTCAGTGGGGTGAAGAAATGGCTGAAGGCAAGGTCTCTGTTATGCAATTTCCATGATCTGACCAGGAAAATATATCTTGGCTCTATATCAATATATGATGGCGGTAGTTTAAGGATAGATGTGGTGCTGGGTGTATACTGGGGCTGGCCAGAGAGGATTTTGCTTTTTATTAAAGAGTTTAGAATTCATTGAAAGGCACCAGAAATGACTTAAATTTTAAGTACAGCAGCATGAGAGCAAGATCTGTGTTTCTGGGGAAGGATTTAGGCTATACATGGACATAGGCAATACAGCTGGGCCAGGAGGTAGTTTTGACAGTGCACCAGGAAGGAAAGGCTAGAGGTACCATGAACTGTTAAGGCAAAAATTACCAGAGTTTGGAAACTAGCTGAATCATGCAATCATGAATGACTACTGAAATGGGGAAATCTTTGCCTGAAACATAGGAGGAAAATATTGTGACTCTAATTTCTAATCCCAATGGTATCCATCATCCACAATTATACTTATTAAAAATGAATGGAGCACCTATTAGATATGCTATAGAAGTGCATCTCAAACTTGAACATGTACAAGAATCTCCTAGAGATCTTTTTAAACTGCTAATTCTGATTCAGTAGATCGGTGGAGGGCCCCAATTCTCTATTTCTAACAAGCTTCAGGAGATGCCCACATTGCAGCTCTGGGAACAATAGATTAAGTAGTAATATGATAGAGTAAATGCCTTCCAATCTTTGTTAAGTAATCAAAGAATTCCTATTGCTGGCTTATGAAGCTATAAACTAAAGCTGCTTGGGAATTTTTGTCTAAGCCGTTTTTCTTTGTAAATGTTTTTAAAATATATGTTTATTGATTTCTGAGAGGAAAGGAGAGGGATAAAGAGTTAGAAACATCAATGATGAGAAATAATCTTTGATAGGCTGCCTCTTGCACAACCTCCACCAGAGATCAAGACACAACCTGGACATATGTCTTGACTCGGAATAGACCCAACTGTGACCTATCTGTGACCTTATTGTTCATAGGATTATGCTTAACCATGAAGCTACACCAGCTGGCTCCTTTGTATTTTTTATTTTGTTTCTTTACTTATAGAATCAATGAAAGCTTTGTTATTTCTATTTCCCAGATAATAGAGAACTGAATAGCTAATAATAAAGCAATAATTTAAAATTGTTATATCTCAGTCTCATTTATATAGAGTCCTAAATCAGGGTCATCAGATTTTTAAGTTTGTGAGAAAAAAAGCTCATTAGTCTACTGTATTTGTGTGAGAAGGTTTTGCAATCAGGAGCAGTATTTACAGTATGTGATCTACTTAAGGAGTGTTTTCAGCAATAAAATGTAAGATAGCAAAATAATGGATCAAAACAGGAAGTAAAAATTTGTTCATGGTCTTTTACAGTTAGCCTCTGAGCCTGGAAGAAGATACAATTTGATTCACAAAATTAAATGTAAAACCTCTATCAACTTTATTCACTTAGTGAAAAATGAATTAATTTTAATTCTATAGCTTTCAAATATTTTAAGAACTAAATTAATAATCACCTGTAAAAACTTTGATATATTAATGTTCTGTTGTCATAGACATCCTTATCTATTGCTCTGGCAATTAACATCTAGTCTTAGTTTTGGACAGAGAGAAAAATCATAATTAAATCTGTTGAATTATTCATCATGGTTAGAAAGCTTATTGTATTTTGATTCAAATATAAAGCATCATTTTTAATAAGCACTGCATATCAGATTCTAGACTCCCATGGGAGCTTTTTCAAAATATAAAAGCCTGGAATCCTATCCTAAGAAGACTGAATCAGAATTCCTGGGGTTCAGGGGACAAGGGTGCACAAAATGAACACAGTCTCAAATAAAGGGTAGACAAGAGATATATGGGTAGACAAGAGAAAGTAGGGAATGTTTTAGAGTTACGTCATTATTCTCACCTTCTTGTATGCTTTTTAAATTGTAAAATGTTCATAAATGATAGAAAATGACATATTTATGTCTTTTAAGTCTGGTCAAATAAAGGGAAGGAAAAGATTATAGGCAAGGAAGAATTTTATATAGGGAGTAATGCAAGAAAAAGAACCCAGTACATTTTATATGAAAACATTGTAGAAATATAAGAAGTATATTTTATAAACTTTTAAAACTACATGAAAACACAATAGATGGAAAATGAAATGTGATAAATGAAGAAAAAGAATAAACTAAGAAGGAGTTATGGGGCATTGTACAGTGGCAAACTGGATAAGCTATGTAGGCAAAGAAGACTTGGCAAAATATCCCCTAAGCTAGGCAAACTAGGAAAATAGAAGAGAAAAAAAGTGATTGGGGGAAAAGATCAAAACTGAGGGAAATATAAGAGAGGAAAACAAACCTTCATTGAACAAGTAGATGTGTCAAGAATACATTGTTGTGATTTCATTACAATTTTGTCAATATTTATTTTGAAACAAATTAATGATTGACTGTTACTCACTGGGCAAGTAAAAATATACTAGTATATATAACCCTAAGTGACCTTTTGACTGGTCACAATGATGAACAACAACCATCAGGTGGCAGATGCTCAATGCAGGAGCTTTCCCCTGGTTGTCAGTGCACTCCCACAGCAGAGCACTGCTTACCTGACCAATGGGTACCAGATGGTGGCACAAGCCTTTCCTGCCTCAGTGGCAGTTACAGGTGACAGCAGGCACACTAGGGCCTGGATAAGCGGGGTCAATGTGGTGCACAACCTGGACTCAAGCTCCTCCCTGGCCACCTGCCACTTTGTTCACTATTACATCCCTCCAAGGGGTCCCAGATTGCTAGAGGGTGCATGAATCTGTGCACTGGGCCTCTAGTATGTAATAATGTAATAACATGAATCCCATACAGGCTTGTGAAATGAAACATATAATTTTATGGTACAATTTCATAAAAGTATGGCATGCTATCTTTTACCTACTGTGCTATACCTTCTGTCCTATTTAAAATCATCCTCATTGCTTACCTTTGTCAGATGCTAGCATTCAAGTAAGTCTGAAAAACACTGGTCATTTTCTT